CTTTTAGAAAACATGGGGGTGTTCCTTTGGCCACATACATGCGAATCTGTAAGAAAAGTGATATTGTGGACATCAAGGGAATGGGCACTGTTCAAAAAGGAACACCCCACAAATGTCACCATGGCAACACTGGAGGAGTCTACAGGGTCACCCAACATGCAATGGGCATTGTTGTGAACAAGCAAGTTAAGGGCAAGGTTCTTTTTTTTCTTTAATATATTTTTATTGATTTTTTACAGAGAGGAAGGGAAAGGAATAGAGAGTTAGAAACATCCATGAGAGAGAAACATCGATCAGCTGCCTCCTGCACACCCCCTACTGGGGATGTGCCCGCAACCCAGGTACATGCCCTTGACCGGAATCGAACCTGCGACCCTTCAGTCAGCAGGCCGACGCTCTATCCACTGAGCCAAACCGGTCAGGGCTAGGGCAAGATTCTTGCCAAGAGAATTAATGTACGTATTGAGCATATTAAGCATCTAAGAGCCGAGATAGCTTCCTGAAACGTGTGAAGGGAAATGATCAGAAAAAGAAGGAAGCCAAAGAGAAAGGTGCCTGGGTTCAAATGAAGCGTCAGCCTGCTCCACCCGGAGAAGCACACTTTGTGAGACCAAGGGAAGGAGCATGAGCTGCTGGAACCCATTCCTTTTGAATTCATGGCATAATAAGTGGGGAAAATAAAAAAGACTTCTGTGCTGATAAAAAAAAAGAAAAAGAAAAGAAAAAAAGAAAGGTGCTGGGATACAGAATAACTTGGAAGGGGGTACCTCTATTAGAAAGTGTGGTCCTAAGGGACTCTGAGGAAGTGACCTGAATGATTCAGAAATGCCCATGGGATATGTTTTCCAGATTTGGGGGGTGGGGGGGGGGGGGGGGGTCCAGACAGTGCAAAGGCCCTGAGGCAAAAATGAGCTAGATCAGCTCTAGGAACACAACCAAAGGTCAGGGCGGCTGGGATAGGATAGAGTGGGGTGGGGAAGAAGGGGAGGGGAGGGAAGCATGTGGTGAGAGCAGCTCAGCTTGTTGGCTTTAAGGACATGAGATGGAAGCCTCCAACCTTCAGAGAAGAAGGTGATTGTTGGAAGTCATACAGCCGGTCAGCGGCCAAGCTGGTGTACTCCCTTTGGTTCGCCTGACTTTAATCCCTTTGCATGTTATTTTAACTATGCCACACAGAAAGTAAAAATAAAGTACATACCGCCGAAACCGGTTTGGCTCAGTGGATAGAGCGTCAGCCTGCGGACTGAAAGGTCCCAGGTTCGATTCCGGTCAAGGCATGTACCTGGGTTGCAGGCACATCCCCAATAGGAGATGTGCAGGAGGCAGCTGATCGATGTTTCTCTCTCATCGATGTTTCTAACTCTCTATCTCTCTCCCTTCCTCTCTGTAAAAAATCAATAAAATATATTTTTTAAAAAAATAAAGTACATACCTATCTAATCCACCAGGAATAAAATGCAAGCATATGTCTTAAAAAATAAAGTTGAGGGGCATGGAGGAAAGAACCCACAGAGACTTTGTTTAAAAGTTGGGGTGAGCACATCCCTGCCTCTGTGCATTTGCACTTGCCTTTCCGCCGCCAGATGCTCTTCCCTAAAGCTGCTCATGGGGCCGGCTACCCCTGGGGCCAGCTCCCCCAATGCACACAAGTCACTACTCAGATGTCACCTCCTCAAAGAGGTCTTCCCAGACTTCCCTACCTAAAATCACCTGCACCTGCTACCCTCCCGGTTCCCCTCTCTGCCAGCTCCATAGCACCTAGCGTCACCTGACATACATTACTCGTATTTCCTTGTTCACTGTCCAAGTCCCTCACTAGAACCTCCGCTGGATGAAACCTCAGCAGAACTTTGTCTGTTTTTGAACTACAGCATGGTGCTCGCAGGTGCTCACTGGCTTGTTCAATTAATGAATTAGGCCACAATCTACAAAGGCAGGTTGTTAGTCTTTCTCCACCCTGACCAAAAGACCCTAGACATGTGGAATTGACAGGATACAGTCAATGACAGGTCAGCCCTCACAGTTCCTGCTGGTGTGGGGACAAGCAATCCCTGCAGACTCCCCTAAATGTTTCTAAACAATTGGGGCCATATGAAAGCGTGCGGCTCTGGTTCCAGCTCGCTTTAGTCACTCCCCTCAGCCTGGGCTTCTCCCCAGTGGGGACAGGAAAGAACCCTGATGCTGCAGGAAGGGGACCCAGAGTTCAGGGGCCCCTTAGAGTATCTGGGGCAGAGCACAGGGGAGCAGCATCAGGCAGCTCAGAGCCCTGATAAAGCTGATGGCTGGACCACTTGTCCAGATCTGTCCCCCTGTCCACTGCACCCCATCAGCAGGAGCTGGAGCCAGGTGCTGCTGCTGCTCCCAGTTGGAGGCTCAGGTCCTTTTGCTTCTTGTTCATTCCCAAGGGGACCCAGCCCCCCTTCTACCCTTCCCTTATGTGCCTGGGTCTCCCCTATCTTCCATACCCCTGACCACTGGGAGCAAATCTGCTCCGCTTGTGTCCGAACCACTTGTCCCAGCATGGGCTCTGGGCTCAGCCTGCTGGGGCCCAATCTCAGCTCTGACATCTCTTGGCTCTGGGATGTGGCAAGTGACCGCATCCTTTTGAGCCCCGGTGTCCGTTATCTATAAATGGGCCCAATAACAGTACCTACCTCATAGATTGTGTGAAGATTAGAAGACATTACGCACACTAAGCAATCAACACAGCCCCTGGTGCACAGTAAACACCCGTTTTAGACTTCCTCATCTCTCTTTGGGCTGTGACCTGCCAATGTCTTGTGTGGGCCTGACCCTCGTGGGGCCTTGGTCCTGCCTGGTTCCTGATTTCGGCGTAGAACCCTGGACCTTGTCCTAGGAAGCCAGGCCCAATGTTATGTGGATTCGTGCATGACCCTTCTCCTCTCTTGACCTCAATCTGTATCTGTAAAATGGCCATAGGTTAGGTCCCATGACCTCCAGGATCCCAGGAGTTCTGATGCCTACTCTATCTCATCCTTCTCTTGTGCAAATGTCTGCCATGGCTTCCCGCAGGAGGTCCTTTCTAGTGCGCTCATGCCCAGTGGCTGCCAGCCCCTATCTCCTGCCCCTGGCTGCACACCCTCTCCACTCGGCCATGGTGAAGTCCTGTTAACTCCCCGAAGCGCCATGCTCTCCCTCCTCTAGGCCTCTCTGCACAGCTGTTTCCCTGCCCGGACCTCCCTTTTCCCCGCTTCTCTCTAGCTAACTCCTCGGTCTTTTCTGACACCCCCTTGTGTGGGGCATGGCCAGAGTGTTTTGAACAGGTTCAAGCCTTGGACTACTGAGAGGGCACAGTCCTCTCATTGCCACGTGCAAGTCCCAGCTTGAATGGCAGAGCCCTCCCAGCACAATTAGCCAACAGCTATAGCTGTAAGCTTGAACCTGTGATCCGAACACGTGGCCCCACGTGCCTGAGTGATAGAGTTCAGGTGCAGGTAGTGGAGTGGGAGTGAAACCCACAAGAATGTTGTAAACATCTTGATCACGCCCTTACTCTGCCTCGTGGCATTTGCTATAAAATAAAGACACGGCTTCTGGGCGCAGGCGCTGTCCATCAGAGGGGCAGCGTTCCACTGAGACCCAGCTTTCATTCTCTGGTCTGTCTTTTCTAAGCCTTTCACCACCCCCACTCAGGGTCACTGAACCCGGCTGAGCTGGCATGGCACATAAGGCGCCCCGGGGCTGAGTATGCCATGGCCGTACCGGCTCCCCACACCCTTGAGTACATTAGAGGCTTTCCCCCTCTGCTGTCATGGTCCGTAAGCTCCACCCCTGCAACCTGTATCATTATGGGGCCCTAAGCTATGAATTCCCCAGGGCTGGGACCATCTGGTTTACTTCTCTGGTCACAGTCCCGCCTGGGGCTTGACAGAGAGTTGGGGGGCTCACTAGCTGCTCCCAATAAACACAGGACAAAATGAATACACGGATCCCTCAGGCCTGACAATCCTCTGCAGCCAAGGCTCTTTCCAGGCCCCTGTGATGCTGGAGGAGGCCCCTAGGGGCGCTTACCTGGCAGGTGTATTCGGTGCCTGTGGGGCAGTGCAGGGCCCGGTAGGCCCGGCCACCCTCCTCGGGTTCCAGGAGGACATAGGGCCCAAGCCGGGAGGCAGTGGTCACAGCAGGGGCACGGACTGGAGCAGGGGGTGGGCTCAGGGGCAGAGGGCAGGGGGGCAGGCTGGGCTGGGGTCCACTTCGAGCTTGCTTCCGGTCAGGACACTCCGTGTCTAGGTCATCATCCAACTTTAACTGCTTCTTCCTGGAGGGACTACTCATAGGAGCTGCCAGAGGAGTGGCTCTCATCTAGAAAGAAGGAGAGAAAGGCACCAAAGTGAGGCTGCCTGGGGGCTCCTCTCCCCCTGATGGGAGGGCACACTGGCACAACTCACACAGAGGGTGACTTGGCAGTGTGCACTACACTGACAACGGCATGCACCCTTGACTGGGTGCCTCACTTCTGGGATTTATCCTCCAATTAAAATACCCCAAAATTAGCCTTAGCTGGTTTGGCTCAGTGGATAGAGCACCGGCCTGCAGACTGAAGGGTCCTGGGTTTGATTCCAGTCAAGGGCACATGCCTGGGTTGTGGGCTCAATCCCCAGTGTGGGGTGTGCAGGAGGCAGCCAATCAATGATTCTCATTTTTTAAAAGTATATTTTATTGATTTTTTACAGAGAGGAAGGGAGAGAGATAGAGAGTTGGAAACATCGATGAGAGAGAAACATCAACCAGCTGCCTCCTGCACACCTCCTACTGGGGATGTGCCTGCAACCCAGGTACATGCCCTTGACCGGAATCGAACCTGGGACCTTTCAGTCCGCAGGCCGACGCTCTATCCACTGAGCCAAACCGGTTTCGGCATGATTCTCATTTTTGATGTTTGTATCTCCTCACCCTCTCTCTTGACCTCTCTGAAATCAATAAAAATATATTTTTAAATACCCCCAAATTAAATATGTAAATTAATCAGAGCCTTGTGTCTAAGAGCAAAGGCAGAAAACACCCCCAAATGTCCAGTAGTAGGGGGCTGGTTAAAACATCATGACACAGCCATAGTGAAATGCTATACAGTTCTGAAAAGGGACCAGGAAACTCTCCATACTAAGGTAATGATACAAGTACAGTAGGGCCTTGACTTACAGAGTTTAATTCGTTCTGAGACCGAGCTCGTTAACTCAAATTACTCTGTCAACTCAATGCAAAAAATCGGCAGAGAGACAGCTGGTACCTCAAAAAACTCGTTAGTCGGGACACTTGTAAGTCAAGGCCCCACTGTACAAGGCTATTCCTGTAGCCCATGGAATAGAGACAACTGAATGTCCATCATTAGGGGACTGGTTACATAAATTATATGTCATCCATACACGGAACAATTGTACCCATTTAAACGATTGAGGCAACTCTTTATTGCTAATTGAAAAGATCTCCTAAGTGATTTATTAAGTGAAAAACAAAGGTAAAGTGGAAAGATGGATTTGGTAGCTAATGAGAGGAA